CCCGCACTACGGCACTACCTAAATATACAGAGTCTGTAGGGTGAAATTTTACTAGTGATCGATAGCGAAAACTCAAAATCAGCTGGTAACACGGAACAACTTTCCCCATGGTAGAAATATGAAAAAGAAAATTGGATATCCGATACAATACTCTACTCGAATTCCTAAATTTGTATGATACCTATAATATAGATGTACAGACTTAAACGCAAAATTTAAGACTGTTTGATAAGGTATCCTACAACTCAGCAGTCCTGCAACCCTGAGCAATCGGTAGTTGGGCTGGTGATGATAATGAAAGGGTCGGTCTGCTATTTATGTGAATAGCTGAATGAAAGATTGCTGTTTAGAAAGAAAGAAAGAAAGAAAAATGTTTGTTTTTTACCAATTGACCCTGAAATTAAAACTTAGTTTTTTAAACAATTTCGTACTTATTTTAACTAGAGAATTACCTATTCTACAATTAATTGTAAAGCAGAGCATTCACAAAAAGTAAGTATAGCACGATTGAGATTAGTCTTAATATTTGTGCAATTCATTTCTAAATTAAACTCAATGAACGACCCAATATATTATACTTAATACCGGTCCAATTTATTGGTCAACTATGTCGCGCAAAATTATGAGTTATGATTTATGGATATTTCATTCATTATGATTTGGTTCAACTTGTATTTTATTTAAATGTGTGATTCATTTACAAAACAAGGTTATTTTTAGTGATTTAAGAGAATTATTCCATTTAAACAATATTGATTTTAATGTCGTAACAGTTTAATTTTCCGATTTCTCTAAATGACTTTTGATTGTAAATTTGATTGAAAATGTGTGAATATAAAAATGCTTATCCATGTTAATGATATTACGGAGTTATCTGTCTTTTAGTGTCTCTTCTCTGTAGGTTGAGCCCTGATACTGAGAAATGTGATACCCAAATGTACAATTAATAAAACGATTGTGGTAACCGTGTCTTCTGATTATCTTCAGGGTCAGATTCAGATGGGTCTATCAGGAAGCGATACACATTTTTTGTTAATTTGGTTTTGAAAATTGGAGATTCCCTTATTATGGAGGCTATGATTGTCAGCTGCCTACCTACTTGTTAGGGATTTAAAATGCGGTAAACTAAAGCCATTAATATCCTAATAATGGTTGCTTGAACTGTGCAAATTTAGGAAGCTCCTACAACCCAGTACAATGTGTTGAAAACTCACAAACTGTTGTTAATTATGACTTGTTTCAAACTTTTTGTTGTTTACTGTTTACGATAACACAACTTTCAATGCAAGGTGTAAGTAGATGCAGTGCAACTTTGTTCCCGTAAATTCAAGGGGAAAGTTAATGTAGAGTCTTGTCTTCTGGGGTAGGTCACGTGGTATCAGAACCTCCAGTCGCAAACCAGATGCGATCACGATCATATCTCCAACCACACTGCTGCTCGAGCTCGGTTGTACAATGATAAAGTTGTTTCAGAATAGAGTTTTAAGGCTTTAAATAGACTCTATGTTCTGAAATAAAGTGAAATACATTCAAGTAGGTAAGTGTATGTCTCAAAATCAGAAAATATATGAAGAACATTATTTTTTAGTTAATCTGAAAATTAATTATTTAAGGAGTAAATAGGCTCCAATATTATACGTGTTGCGCCGACCCCAAGTAATTGGGATAAGGGCAGGAAGATGATGATTATACAAAGCACAGAAAAAAGCAAGGAAAAGGGCGCAATATTGCAGTCGCCCGTGAAAAGTTACGTAAACCAGAAAGAGAAAGAGCGACAACATAAACTCGTGACAGCTCTCTCGGGGTCAGAGTGTCAGCGAGTTGTGTCGCGAGATCAGATACACTATCACCAGATTGTATCAACACTGGGCGATGAAGCTGTAGACTTACAGAGTGATTCTATAGGAGGCGATACAGACTACAGAGTAAGGCGAAGAACACACGTAACCTCCGTTTAAACGTTACCTAGGTCGAAACTCATATAATGTAGTATGGAATATGACAGCTTGTGCGGAAACTCTTTGCTATCTACCTAAAAGATATTTGACAGGTTATTTAAAAGGTAGTACTTACAATATGTATTAATTAGGTATATTATTATTTGAATGCAAACCTTTTTGGCATTCAAAGAATCATTTAAAAATATTCCTAATCCTAAGATCTAATGCAGGATGACAATATTATCGAAAAGCTAAAATTTAATGCTCCTAAATATACTTCCCACTAGTCTAATAAAATACTAGCTCCCTTAACCAAAACGCAACTTACGGCCCTAACAGAACCTCTAAACAAAACAGATGTCATATTTACGATTACCAGTATATTGTCCTACACCTTGCAGACAAAACCATGGCGGGCATAAACTAGGAGCTTATATGGTAGTGTCAGTGTACACCGCAATAAGGTATGGAGTTGTATTATGGGGGAGTACCTATGGGAGCGAAAGCGTGGGCAGCGCACGCGCACCTCATACAAACTATTGTTGCTTCAGAGGAGGCAATTTATGTTGTACAAATGGTGGTTTATATAGTTCACCGTTTTGTTTGACATAGTTTTGAAATTAACTCACTTACTTACCTGCGGTGTGAAAAATAAAAAAAGGGAGGTTTTTAGGTGTAAATTAATTCAACACTATTAGCGTTTTTGCAGGCTGTTCAAAGCCCATATAGAGTAAATTGGTCATTAAGCTCGTAAACATAGTAAATGAATGAACACTATGCCTGTATGAGCACGAATAGGTACGCATTCGATATTCATATTAACTAAGAATTCGATTAATTAATATTTATCAATCAACCGAACGACGCGGGCGGTACCATTCGCAAAAACAGCCATACAAAGTACTTGTAGAGAAGTAGTGGCTGCTTTTACATGACATAAGTAGATTTGCTTATTAATCTATGGCTGTGGTTATGCAATTTATCATATCATTATAGTGTTGGCCGTCGTTCGGATCTGTAATAAATCATTCCTATGTTTTTATCGAGCCGACTGCGTAATCAACTAATTGCTAAAGTATTAGCGATTCAAGATTCGTATCCGGACGAGGCATTCGATGCCGCGCGATAGGAATGGCCGTCGTTCACTGTTCTTTCGTTTGAGAATTTTTAGACGTGTGTTGCATTGACGCGTCGGAAAGCAAGGTGGCTTCTGAGGTTTCAGTGAGCGCGTAATGTAATTCAAGTGACTTGAAGTAGTCGGTTTGTTTCAGTTTTTACGGGGCCAGCGTTGGATCGATGCGGCCTGCCCCCGCCGCGGTGAGGTGATCTTTTTGCCCGCACTCCTCGGTCCTGTTCGCATGAGCTTCGTTCGCGCCAACCGTCGCGTCTAGAGAAATTCTTACAAATAAAAACAATTTCGCGTTGAATGCAAGAGATCAAGGTACCTACGGTTTACTTATAAGGCGTCTCTTCGTTTAAATAGATGAGATTTTCTTGTGTCGACGTGGACTTTTTTACGCTGAAACTTATTGTTTTCAATAAAATGCTTTGATTTGTTCATATCAGATATTTGGCTCTTATTTTATCAGTTACGGGAGAGATATGCATAAACCATAACTAAAGAGCAAGGCACTGTTTTGTTCTTTTATGAAAATGAGAAAGAGTTCCATCAAAGTTTCAAAGCTTTGATAAGATACAGAATAACTCCGCAATTAATTTAAAATGGAATTAGTTGAATTTAATCTGTCCAATTTAGCATTTCTAATCAGCTCTACATTGTGGAGATTTTTTCGCTCCAACAGGCTTCCCAAGAACGTGTCTTTGCCTCCTCTGAGAATTTTTTGCACCGCCATCGTCAATGGTGGCTCATATACGTAGCGAATATAAATGATTGAATAATTAATACACCGTTTACAAGTCCTAAGCAAGATACAAACCCATTGAGAAGCATTTTCAGTTTGACATCGAAATTTCTTAGCTTAGAAAATGTGTAGATAAGATACTTTAAGTTGTACGGGCTGATTACTAATGGATAAGATATTCGGTTAGTTAGAGCATAGCATTTTCCGGAAAGTGAATATTTTGCCTGACTGTCTTCTTCTTCTTTTTGTGAGTTGCAGTATGCACCAAGTCGTTCAACGACCCTATGAAGCAAATAAAACCAATGTTTTGTGTAGTGAGTGTTACTTTACACATCGACTGATATCAGAGACTAATATATTCCTCACATTGTCATTCAAATAGCCCTCGACAAATACGTAAACGGACATATGTGCAGTGCAGTGTCGCCACTTCACCGATGCAAGGGGATGAACAGTATTCAACAAAGAAGATAAAAAAATAAAGCGCTTAGCATTGCGTATGTCTGTGCTTACATGTGTGCAAGTATACGTGCATGTGTGGGATATGATTGTGTGGGACATGATTGCATGTGTGTGAATGAGGGTTGTAATGTTGCTACCGACGGGTGACGGACGGGTAACCACGCCCAGGAGATAATCGTTTGTTTTTACACGGTGCTCTGAATAATATATTGCGAGGATAGCAAGCAGCGGAAAATTTAATTTTAGAGGTATATTTTTATCCTGATTGCAGTCTTAGAGGTAGGTACCTAGGTATAATTCTAGTTATTGCTAGTATTCCCTACTTCCAAAATCCTTAAGCTGAAACTTGTTAGGCAGTTAGGCACATTTCTATCTCAAATATTATGCTTATTAGGTACCTACTTAATTTATGGAAATAGAAGCATCGATTTCCCCCTGATTAGCTAGTTTACGAATAATAAGCTAACACAAGCTTGACACATTATAATAACAATCAATATTATAGTCCGTTAAACCGTGGAATATTTCAAATTCTTGGTGGTGGTCAAGCCACACCGTCGGTATACTACGCAACGGATTGTTCTGCTTTAACATCAATGTTAAAAAGATTGCCAAGCTTTTGACATAACTAACTACTGGGTGAATTGCACAATTTGTGACAACCACAAAAATTGAATACCAAATTTTAAAACACTTCTCGTGTTAGGTAAACAATTTTCGGAAAACTTCCAAAATTTTCACGGTAGCCTAGTTGGTTAGGGCGTCGGCAGTACTGATACCGAAGGTCGCAGGTTCAAATCCTGCCTGCTGTGAAAATTTTGGAAGTTTTCCAAAAACCACAAAAATGACAAGCGGAAGCGGTGACAGTTCAAGTAGCGGTTTTCTATGGAATAGGTATCAAAAAAGAAAGGGGTTCGGCAAAACACCGAAAAATTTTGCGGTCGGTGAGTGTGAGAACCACCATAAATAGGCACTTACCTCCGTTAATAGAGCTAAAATATAAACGGATCCATAGTGTCGAATTGCATATGACTTTTTTTGTACTTGTCCTGTATTTGTTTTTGGTTAAATTAATGACAACTCACTAACATGAACCGTAGTACCTATCGTACCATACCTATCTTTCGCGACGTTATTTCAATTGGTAAGTGTAACCTACGCCCAATAGATACAAAATCCCCAATTAATAAAATCACACACAGACACACATAAACAGCGTTTGTTTGTGTTGGTTTTTAACACTTTTTATACAATTTATCAATCCGGGCAGATGGTCGGGGATCATATAAACACCTTTCAAAAAGCACCCATCCATTGTAGGGTTACGACATTATCATATGTGGAACTAAAATGGCCGATCATGTGATGATACGATGAAAAAAGTAATGATTTTAAACTGTTTTTGGAAGTTATTTATCTAAATCATTATGAACGTTTAGAAACCTGTTTAGTGATGGATTTTTTACAAGTTTTAGCTCTATGGGATCCTTGAATTTGTTAAATTACGTTTTAAATACTTTTAGTTTCAATAAGCTAATAAACTAAAGTATGTAGAGCCGTAATTTATTAAAGACAGATTAAATATTATTAGGTATTGGTTCAATTTAATAAAACCTGTAAGTGCCTAGTGCCCAAGCGAAATCAATTTGATAATGTACCTATGCTGGTGCCTAATTTATATTTAATTAATAAAAAAAAACGTAAAGTTCTACCTTAACTTTTAACACTAAATCGTATACAATAAAATTTATAAAACACAATTTCAAATTACCTACCTACTAAGCAAATGATTAAAAACGCAACATGTTAATAACGGCCCATGCACACTGGTTGTTCCGCCGGCAATGCGCTCCTGCTGCTCTCGACATCGCAATATTCAATACCGACCGCAGGGGCCACTCGCATTGTTTGGCAAATATTTTGAAAGCCCGATTCATACGCTGTATTAGCCAGCCTGCGTTTGATAGCCGCCCGTCTTCCTTCCAAATCATATCATCATTACTATTGTGAACTACGTCTAAACTTTTAATACATTGTTTGCCAAATATTTTGTTTGCTGGTGCCTAATTTAAAATTTATTGATATTTTTTTGTATATTTTGAGTTTTCAGCAGGGTGCTAAACTATACCTACACTTTTAATACCAAGTGGTTTGCAATAAGATTTATAAAACACAATTCCAAATTACCTACTAACCAAATGACTAAAAACGCAACATGTTAATAACGGCCCGTGCACACTGGTTGTTTCGCCGGCAACGGGCTGCTGCTCTCGACATCGCAATATTCAATACCGACCGCAGGGGCCACGCGCATTGTTTGCCAAATATTTTGTTTGCTGGTGCCTAATTTATAATTTTTTGTATATTTTGAGTTTTCAGCAAGGCGCTAAACACTACCTAAACTTTTAATACAAAGTCATTTGCAATAAGATTTATAAAACACAATTTCAAATTACCTATAAGCAAATAATTAAAAACGCAACATGTTAATAACGGGCAGTGCACACTGGTTGTTCCGCCGGCAATGGGCTGCTGCTCTCGACATCGCAATATTCAATACCGACCGCAGGGGCCACGCGCATTGTTAGCCAAATATTTTGAAAGCCCGATTCATACGCTGTATTAGCCAGCCTGCGTTTGATAGCCCGTCTTCCTTCCAAATCATATCATCATTACTATTGTGAACGCACCGTAGGGGAGGCCACCCCTTATAGTGTTGAAGTGCTCATAAACAGTTTTGAGTGTTAAAAACTTGGATATTGGTTACGGTTTTACTATTTCTTTGGTCGTAGTTTGTTATGCACTTTTCTTTGTCAAATGTCTGCAAGATAGGCACGATTTCAAAATGTATGAACAAATATGACAGAATTTAAAAAAAATTAAAGGTTTTTGACACTATGTCACAGAAAAATACATACAATTTATTCTCGAATCAATTTCTTTCACGTTAGAGCTCAATAAAATGTATTCAAACAGCAATAATTATAAAAGATGTTTAGCGCGCGGTGGGCGGAAAGATCGCCGCCTGTCGCCCGCCGCCGGCGATTTCACGCGGCCAAAGTGAGACGATTATTGACCCAGTGTAAACTCCACGTTGTATTGTTCTCAGCTTAATTCAAGCGAATACGAGCTTTTACAAATGAAGGGGTTTAAAGACTATCGAAGTAAATAATAGGTAAGGTATGTTACCTGCCTAATACCATGTATTGTATTCTGTGCTAATACTTCGGTTTGGAGGCTGGGTTGGGTAGGTACTAAAATAGATGAAAAATAAATGTACAAACATTTCAAATATATACTAATAATAATACATCAGACAAATAACTCAAAATGAATGACACTCAGATGGAACTTCTAAAAAGCCGCACTAAATAACTGCTGGCGGCAAAATCAGCGGTTTGCCGAAAAATATGATCACAGACTGGCCGCAGGACTCGGGAATTTATTGGAAAAAATGTATGATTCATCAAATGACATTAACTATGTCATTTGATGAATCATACATTTTTTCGTAAGTCGGCATAATGCCTAAAAATAATTTTTAATAAAATTTTGAAGCAAGTTTGTATTCAGTTTTTTTACAGGTTTAATATAAAGTAGGGTTTAAAAGACAATACAAAACGTGAATGAACAAGGCAATCGATTAAGCAATCAGTAAATAGGCTGCAGCCATGGGCGAAAAGCGCCTGGGGCATAGGCGGATCCAACTCAACAACTTTAGTCAATTAACACTTGTATTGTTTTTAATTTTCACTTTGAGGTGAGGGAGAAGACCAATATCGTCATGATTTTGCGATATCTAATATAAATAAATACAAACAGTAAAAAAATGTGTAAAGCGCCTGTGGTTATAAGCTGATCAGACTCAACAACTTTAGTCGACTAACACTTATATTGTTTTCAATTCACACTTTTACTTCCTTAGAGTGTTGACAAACTTTCTTTTATAGGTCTGATATAAAGTAGGGTTTAAAAGACAATACAAAACGTGAATGAACAAGGCAATCGATTAAGCAATCAGTAAACAAGTATGGGCGGAAAGCGCCTCAGGCATAGGCGGATCCAACTCAACAACTTTAGTCAAATAACACTTGTATTGTTTTCAATTTACACTGTTACTTCCTTAGAGTGTTGTCAGACTTTCATTTAAAGGTCTGATATAAAGTAGGGTTTAAAAGACAATACAAAACGTAAATAAATAAGGCAATCGATTAGGCAATCAGTAAACAACCATGGGCGGATAGCGCCTGGGGCAAAGGCGGATCCAACTCAACAACTTTAGTCAATTATCACTTGTATTGTTTTCAATTTACACTTTGTGGTGAGAGAAAAGACCGTTGTTGTCATAATTTTTCGATAAGATGAATATTGAATAAGTGTGAGGGGATTAAATAATCTGTAAAAACTGGTAGTTAACGCCTGAGGCTATACCTATTTAGGCGGATCAGATTCAACAACTTTAGTGAATTATCACTTGTATTGTTTTCAATTTACACTTTGAGGTAAGAGAGAAGACCGATGTCGTCATGAACTTGCAATAAGTAAAAGAAATATAAAGGGATTATGCAATTCGTAAAAAATTGTGGAATACGCCTAAGGCTAGGTATGCGTATCAGACTCAACAACTTTATTAAATTATCACTTGTATTGTTTTCAATTTACACATTGAGGTGAGAGAGAAGACCGATGCCGTTATGATCTTGTGATTTGTAGAAGAAATATAACGGGATTAAGCAATTACTAAAAGTTGGTGAAAAATGCCTTAGACCACCTTTAGGCGGATCAGACTCAACAACTTTAGTCAATTATCACTTGTATTGTTTTCAATTTAAACTTTGAGGTGAGGGAGAAAACCCATGTCGTCTTCTTGCTTGACATAAATCGTATTTGTATGAAAGGGAGCAGATAAGATGGAAATTCGCATTTTCCTAACGCACGCGTTACGCAGCTCTAAAATACCGCAGCAATAAACGTTACGCCTGATGCCCTTACACCTTAGGCTTTGTCAAGTCAACAATCTGTTCTAATATCACTAAATAAGTACTTACCTAGGTAGATAAAAATATGTATTTATAAAAATATTTACTATGGGAGATAAATACTGAACATTATGAGCGGATGCTTGAAATTGCTTCCTAAATATATTTACGTTCAACATAAGTTATTGAAATCGATTCAGCTACTGATGTCGCTCCAAAAGTATCAGTTTACCCGCGCGAGGCAAGCTTCGAATAAAAATATCAGTTACATGCGCAGGCGCCGGCTAGTGAAGATACCATATTCACTCACAATCGGTATATGTATATCTGATTCTGACATACAACCAACATACAACTTATTTTCACGAAATTTCGTAAATAGGGGTTTTTGGGGTCGATAAATCGATCTAGATTGGTGACATTTTTCAAAAATTGTTGCTTCACCCTTTTTTTTAAGTTGTTTTAAAACTAACAGCGACATCTGTTGGTGAGTAAGATGTCAATAACTGTTTTTCTAAGATGTTTTGGAACTGACACATAGAAACATAAACCGAGCGAGCTCGGTCTACCAGCTGGTATAGTTTAATAATGATAGAAAGAAGTTGTTGAGATAGTTTAAAAATATCAGTTACATGCGCAGGCGCCGGCTAGTGAAGATACTATATTCACTCACGTATCGGTATCAGATTTTCACACACAAATTATTTATATAAGTAGGCTAATTTTAGAATACTACAGTCACTTACCAAATAAGTAAAATATATACTACCGGTATTATAGATTAATTGAGAACAAACATGTTTAAATAATGGCTAATATGTGTATGGAGCAGCGAA